AGTGAAACAATGAATGAATGGAATTTCAAAATCCCTGTTGATGTTCACTGAAATTAATAATAAAAATAATAATAATAATAAATTGCAGGCTGGCAGGCCCAGCCGAGCAGATCTCTAGCCCTTTATGAATAAATTTACTAGACAGCCAAATGGGAAGTTTCTCAGCATCTGGGATTTGATTGGAAAGGAACTAGGTTTGTTTGCCACTTCTCAATTCTAAGCTACGTTTTGATCCCTTCATAGACATAATCACAATTGGTTTGGCCAACTGCTGTCAACTCAATGTTGACCCACGGCAACTCAGTGTGTGCCCAGCTAGAACTGTACACCAAAGGGTTTTCGATGGCCGATTTTCTAAAAAACAGGCTCCCAGGCATTTCTTCCAATGTGCCAGTGGGTAGACTCCAAGGGTGAGCCTTTGGGTCAGCAGCCAAGCGTGTGAATCCTTTGCACCATCAGGGACTCCTAATTGGAGGAGGATGGGCTCTAAATCTAACCAGAGGACATGCTGGGGGTTATCAGATTGCCCTTCTCCCCTTTCTCCCCGACGTTCCAACTGCAACACGAGGGTGAAATGAGCCTCACTGTCCAAAAGCAGCTTGGAGGATGTTCAGGTGATGTAATCCCATCCCTCCCCCCCTGGCAGGGGAGCATGAGGTCCCTGAAGCCCGGCCTCTGAGCATCTCGACCTCGGAGACCTACTCACCGTTAGGCAGGCATTGATGCGGACGCAGGTCTTGCCATTGCCAGTGTATTTCGGCAAACAGTTACAGACGGCCTGTCGGGGGAGAGGACAGCGGGGTTATTTCACAGATGCATTCTGTGAACTGGTCGCATAATCTGACTCTCAGATTCTAATGCTATAATGGTAAGCAGAATATTCTATATTCTATATTGGCAATAGCGATTCTCTGTCCATATGTTGGCTTGTCGTGCTTGACTTGTGTGTTTGAAAATGTTGTTGTTAGGTGCTCTTGAGCTGAGTATGACTCATTGCAATCCTGTGAACAGCAGATTTGAACCCTGACCTATCCTGTGCCATCCTCACCATCTGACACATTCGAGCCCATTGCTGCAGTCACTGTGTCAATCCATCTGGTTGAGGGTCTTCTCCTTTTTTTTGTTGATCTTGCTTATTTCCAAATATGATATCCCTTTCCAAGGAATAGCCTCTCAGAGCAACATGCCCAAAGTACGAGAGACAAAGCTTCACCATTCTTGCCTTTAAGGAGCACTCTGTACCTTCTCTATGACATAGCTGTTTGTCTTTTTGACAGTCCATGGGATAGTCATTATTATCTCAAATACCAACAGGGGCACCCATGGTATACAGATTTCAGCAGACCTTCCAGACTAACACAGACACAGAAGAAAGGGCTGGCGAGCTACTTCTGAAAATTAGCCACGACAAATCTCAAGGATCCCTACAGAAGAGTGTCTGCCTCTCTTGGTCTGGACATGTTTTCAGGAAGATCAATCTCTTGAAGATAACATCAGTGGGACAAGGAGGCCCTCGATGTGATGGGTCAGCACACAGCCCCACTGACGGACTTGAGCTGGCTGGTGAGTGAGTACAAGGATGACATGGACCCAGTGAGGGCCTTGAGCCTGCTGGTGGGTCCATGGATGATGTAGAACCAGTGACAGATTTGAGCATGGTCGTGAGTATGAGGGTGATGTGGAAATGAACGACGATTCATTTTCTTGTCATAATGCTGCCATAAATTGCGATTAACTCGACGGCAGCTAACAACAACAAGATCTATTCTAGAATAATCGTTGCCATGTTGTGTGTGTTTAAGTTAGTTCTGCACACTTCACTTTTTTAGCCCTGGGTTCTTATACAAATCCAGCCTTTGCTGCCACCCCGAAGGTCGCACACTTGCCAGAGTACAGCTGTTCTCCACAGGGGTTTCGATGGCTGATTTTTCAGAACTAGATCTCTAGGCCTTTCTTCTGAGGCACCTCACAGTGGACCCAGCCCTCTAACTTTTCCATTAGCACCAGAGTGTGTAACTGTTTGCCCCACCTCCGGACTGCGTATGATTTCCAGAGAGTTTGAACTGTCATCTTCTGTTGTGCTCAGTGTGTTTCCAAGCCATGTGCAAAAGGAAACTCTGTGGGGTTCTGGATAAAATCCCACAAAGTGGAAACAAAGGGGAGCACTTTGGGGGGGTTATGGATACTCCTGACATCAGGTGGAGTTGGCGGATGCCTCCTTTTCCTTGCCTTCAAGTAGTCCCCTTTCCCAGGCACCCTTGTTCTCATTTCTCTTCATTGCCAAATGATGGTTGCCTATCCTTCCAGGATTTCTCTTATCTGTGTTCTTATATCTATTTTATTTCCCCCAAAGAACAAACAAACCTGTCTTGGAGTAAGTACAATCAGGATTCTCCTTAGAAGTAAAGAGAGTGGAACCTCCTTTCACACACTTTGGGCATATTGTCGGGGGGGCCAGTCCTCGAAAAAAGACGGCATGCTGGGGAAGGCAGAGGGTCCCTAAAAGTGTGGAAGACCCTGAGTGAGGTGAACTGATGCGAGGGATACAATCACGGGCTTGAGCATGGTGGAGACGTTGAGGCTGGCACAGGATAGGACAAGGTCCTGGCTGTCGCTCAGAGTATCACTATGTGTCATAGTCAACTTGATGGCACCTAACAACTACGTCTATTTTCTGGAAGAAAGTTCTGATCATCTACTTCTAAACATCAGCCACTGAAAACTATGGATGACAAAGGTCCAGTCCCCAGCAGACCATGGGGATGATACAGGACTAGGGACATTTGACTTCATTGCACATGGAGTCGCAGTGAGTCGGGGGGCAACAAGGTGAGAGCTGCCAATGACGCTTATTCTCTGCTGCTCCTCCAAAAAGTCTGGTCTTAGTTCCTTGACCTAGTGCTGTGTATCAAAACCCTGATTTCCCAGGCGTTGCCTTCTAGGGGGCCTGGGACTGTAAAGGGGGCGTGTGTGTGTGTGTGTGTGTGTGTGTGTGTGTGCAGCTCACCTTGTTCGGTCCAGTGTGTGTGCACTCTGCGTTCTTGTCACAGCCACCATTGTTCTCCAAACATGGATTAATTTCTTGAAAACAAAAGCCAAAACCACTTAGCATGAGAATCAAGCCTCGCTAGTGAAGACATCTTCAGGAACCTGCCAGGATAAGCTGACTGAGGGGACTGGAATGGATGTCAGTGGTGTTTCTCAGTTTTCTGACAATGCTGAGGTAGAGACAACCTGAGGGACAGGGTGCCAGATGTGGGTTCTCAGACCAGACCCTCTGAGACTAACAAATTTAAGGAAATGCACAGGCTTGAGTCTGTCCCTCTATGCGATGAAAATTTGTTCTAACGGCCTTTGGTTTTGGGAAATAACAATGTTCTACACGAAGAGACTTGTGATTAAAAAGAAAATCACAATTGAGATTAGCGTAGAATCATTCATAGATGCTAAATTTAAAAGGGTAACTTTTCTTTTGTACTATGATTTCGGTGGACGTCTACAAAGCACATTTGTTTTCTATTCAGCCATTCATATACATTTCGTTTTAGGACATTAATTACAATAGCAACACTGTAAGTGTAGTCTCCTCACTTCTTCCCGGATCTCTGAGCTTTCTCCCTGACCAAATGCTACCCTTTCGATCTTATTAGTATCAAGGAATTGGAAACAACTAGACACACAGTGGACAAATCAGACAGCACTTTCACAGTGTGAGCATTCCAGGCAAAGCATAGGTCAAATTGAGTGCCTCGTGCCCGGTACCCAGGATGGACACAGCATCACTTGTACAGCATTCAGTCCTGGGGTGAGTGACCAAGATCTAACATGAAGAAACTTGACACGTCAGAGAAGTCTGAATGGAAGGATGTAGAATGCTATCACAAAAAGAAAACTAGGAGAGGTTACTATATTATTTAAAGATGTCAGTGTCACAAAAGATAAAGATATTATCCCAGATTAAAAGGAACTGGAGGCATGGACATTAAATACAACACCCACATTAAGCTATAATAGAAGGGGGAAATGATATAAAGGACATTATGAGTCTATTGGCCAAGGTAGAATACAAGCGGTAATTAAAGAAAAGTATTATAATATTACATTTACTTAAGTTGAGAAGTGTATTATGCTTATGTTTGAGATGGTATCTATCCTTAGGAAATAAATAACAAAAAACAAACAAAAAAACAACCAAAGGCCCGAGCCCACTGTGGTTGAAAGACAGCAACCCTCCATTGGGCTTCTGAGGCTGTGGCTGGAGGAGACTGCTCATCTTTCTTTTCACAGCTCAGTTGATCGTTTTAAACCTTCTGATTATCATTTCAACACATAACCCACTGAACTACCTTTTCATATGCTTACTCTCAAATGGTACATATATTAGGTAATTAATCAAGTCAGAAGATGTAAAATAAAAATTAAAAAAAATCAATGATGTATATATGTTGTTGTTGTTATGTGCCATTGAGATGCCTGTGACTCAGTGACCCTATGGACAATAGCTCTGAACCCTACTCTATCCTGAACCAGTTTCACTGACTCAACACACTTAATCCTATTGTCCCAGTTACTGTGTCAATCCATCTCATCTGGGGTCTTCCTTTCCTCGGCTGTCCTTCCATCTTTCCAAGCAGGACATCCCTCTCCAAGGACTGGTCCCTCCTGGCCACATGCCCCAAGTATGTGAGATGGAGCTTCAAAATCCTTGCCTCCACTTGGTTTCACCCTCTCCAAGACAGACCTATTTGTTCTGGCTGTGCATGGTATGTTCTCTTCTTACTCTTCTCCAGCACCACAACTCAGAGGCATCAATTCTTCTGTTATCCTCAGTCCTTATTTGTATATATATATATATACAAATGATAAAGCAGTGTTGTTTTTAGGTTCTGTTGAGTCAAGTGTGACTGATAGCAACCCTATGAATAACAGATCTGAATGCAGTCTTATTCTGTGCCATCCTCATAATCTCTGACACACTTGACTCCCATTGCTGGAGTCACTGTATCTATTCATCTCATTAAGAATCTTTCCTTTCTTCTTGGATTCCCACCGGTCCAAGCATGATATCCCTTGCCAGGAATAGACTCCTAGCAATGTGCCCAAAGTGAGATGAAGAGATGTAAGATAAAGTTTTGCCATCCTTGCCTCTAAGGAGTATTCTGGCTGCAATCATCCCAAGAAATATGCTTGTTTTGTTGGCAGTCTGTGGACTATTCAGTATACTTCTTTAACACCACATCTCAAAGGCATCAATTATTCAATCATCCTTAGTCATTGTCCAGCTCTCAGCAGATGCATAGCAAGTGATTAAAAAGACCATGGCCTCAAACAGGCACACCTTAGTCTTCAAATTAACATATTGCTCCTCAGTTCTTTGGAGAGCTCCCTGACAGCTGACTTGCCCAGTGAAATACATCTTGTGATCTCCTGACTGCTGGACTAAGGGGGTTGACTGTGGATCCAAGTAAGATGAAATTGTTGACAATTTTAATCTTTTCTCCAACTATCATGATGTTGCTTATCAGTCCAGTGGTGAGAATTTTTGTTTTATTGATGTTGAGAGGCAATCCATAATGAAGGCTGTTGTAGTCTTTGATCTTCTGCAGCAAACATTCCAAGTCCTCTTCATTTTCTACAAGCAAATTATGTGTATGGTCTGCATAATGCAGGTTGTTGATGAGTCTTTCTCTAATTCTGATGCCTCATTCTTATTAAGTCTAGCTTCTCAAATGATTTATTCAGCATATAGATTGAATGAGTATGAAGAAAGGGTAGCACCCTGATGCACACCTTCCCTGATTTTAAATAATGCAGTGTTCCCTTGTGCTGTTTGGCCAATAGCTTCTTGGTCTAGGTATAGATTTTATGTGACCTGGGATTCTCACTTTTCTCAATGTTAGCTATAGTTTGATATGATCTGCATAGTCAAATGCTTTTGCATTATCAACAAAGCACAAATAAACATTCTTCTAGTATTCTCTGCTTTCAATTAGGATCCAGCTGACACCAGCAATAACATCCCTGGTGCCATGGCCTCTTCTAAGCCCAGCTTGAACTTCTGACAATTATTGCTCAAAGTATTACTTGTACTAATAGTTTTTGGATAATCTTCAGAAGTATTTTGCTTGCATGTAATACTAGTAATGTTGTTGTTATGTGCCATTGAGTCACTTGTGAGTCATAGTTGACATTAGCTCTGAACCCTATCCTGAGACAATCTTACCATCTCTAATAGACCTAAGCCTAATTCTCCAATCACTGTGTCCATCTCATCCTGTGTCTACCTCTCCTGTGCTGTCCCTCCACCCTCCCAAGCATGTTGTCTTTCTCCAAGGACTGGTCACTCCTGGCCACGTGCCCAAAGTATGTGAGATGGAGCTTCAAAATCTTTGCCTCCAAGGTGCAGCATGGTTTCACCTTTCAGGACAGACTTGTTTGTTCTCTTGGCAGTCCACAGTATGTTCAACACTCTTCTCCAGCACCACAACTCAAAGGCATCAATTCTTCTATCATCCTTAGTTATAGTCCAGCTCTCTGATGCATAGCAAGTAATTGCAAAGACCATGGCTTGTATTAGGCACACCTTAGTCTCCAGACTGACATCATAGCTCATCAGTACCCTAGAGGGGTCCCTGACAGCAGACTACCTCAATGCAATTCATACTGACGGCTGGTTTCAAGAGTATTGATTGTGGGATCAAGCAAGCTGAAGTTAACAATCTCAATCTCTTTTCCATCTATCATGAAGCTGCCAATTGGCCCACTGATGAGAATCTTTGTATTCTTGATATTAAGTTTCAATCCATATTAAAGACTACAGTCCTTGACCTTCAATAGTAAATGCCTCATTATATCCTCAGTTTCAGTAAGCAAGATGTGTCATCTGCATGACACAGGTTCTTATGCCAATCTTGAAGCCACATTTCTCCTCATAAAGTCCAGCCTCCCAAATGATCTATTCTGCATATAGATTGAAAAGGTATGAAAATAGGATGCATCCCTTATGCACACTTTACCTGATCCTGAAACATGCGGTATATCCCTGCTCTGTTCTGACTACTACTTCCTGGTCTATATGTATAGGTTTCATATCAGTGCAATTAAGTGTTCTGGGATTCCCATTTTTCTCAAGGTTAGCCACAATTTGTTGTGATCCACACAGTCAAATGCCTTTGCATAGTCAATAAAAATAAAGACAATTCCTCTGGCATTCTCTGCTTTTGGCCAAGATCCTTCTAACATAGGCTATGGTGTTCCTCGTTCCACAGCCTCTTCTAAACCCAGCTTACACACCTGACAGTCTGCTGGTGTACTATTCCAGTTGTTCTTTTATAATCTTCTACAGGATCTTGCTTAGGTGTGATATTAGTGATACTGCACGATAATTTCCACACTCTATCAGATCATATTTTTTTTTTTAATGTGAATAAATACAGATCTCTTTCAGTCTGTTGGCCAGGTAGCTGTCCTCCAGATTTCTTGGCATAACCTGATAAGTGTGTCCCAGGCAGCATCTTTGCTAAAATATGTCAGTTGGTATCCCATCACTTTCTGGGGCCTTGCTTTGTTTTGTTTTTTAAATATTCAGATAAATATTTTAACTACATTAAAAATAGAACAGAGTTAGTTAACTATTAACAGATATACAAACATATGTACTTATGTTCTTGAAAGAAACATACAAACAATATGTGAGGATATTTGGGTTCTATTTGTAATAACCTCAACAAAACATTACACTAAGGCAGGAGTATTTTAGTGCTATGGAATCTTATATAAATAAATTTGTTTAAGAGCTTCTCTGTCAATATCTTTTTCTAGATATACATCATAGGTCAAAGGTATCTCGTTGACTCAGACGGATGACTGTTGATTAGTCTGAAGACCCGAGACAGCCTCTTGAAGACTTGATACAGTAATTAAGAATGATCCTTGTTTCCTCACATTATGGCTGATATATTCCCAGGCTCTGGCTTGTTCTGCCTCATTAAGAAAATATTCGAAGCCATTACTCATTATAACAACATCAGCATTTTGCAGATGTGAATCCTGGGTATACATGTCTGCACAAAGCACTTTATTCTGTCAGCAAATAGGTACTTTCTAATGACCAATTCCTGCAACTGGCACAAGTCTTCATTCGTTTCTACTCCAGACAGTTGCAATGCTGAACTGTAAAGATAACCCCCATCAAGAACCGTTGCTAAGCCTAGAGCCAATATCAGCCAAGATCTTTCCTGACAGATCAGGGAGGACATGATGATGTATAAACTTCAATTCCGAGAGGGAGAGAGAAAGAATGAGAATTAAATCCTAAAGGTGCTGTCTGGTGCAAGCCACACACCATGCAGTAGCTTCTGCTCATTCTTCCTTCTTCACACAATGAATCAATAAAGTCTTCATCATAAAGGAATGCATCGTCGTGAACTGTGGGTTGCTGCTGTACCTGAGTTCCTTTTTTTTAAAGGTAGCTCCTCGGTGCCATAATGTGTTCCTGGGGTGGAATGACTACAGAGGACTTAAACAACCTGCTAATTTGCTACTAAGTTTCCTGCTATACATATTGAGAGATAAGAGTTAAATTCAATTATAGCCAAGACACATCAATGAAGTACTTCAGAAATCCTTTCAATAGACTCTTCGACTAACTGGGGATTTGTTTTTTGACATTTTCTTCAGAGCAACTTGAACTTCCTCCTTCATCACTATTTGATACTTTCCACATTCTGTTGGACCACCCTTTTTGACACTGGGAACAATATGGATCTCTTCCAGTCAGTCAGCCAAGCAGCTGTCCTCCAAATTTCCTGCTATTTCTTGGTGAGCACATCCAGGGCTGCATCCGTAATTTGAAACATATCAACTGGTATTCCATCAATTCCTGGGGCTTTATTTTTTTGCCAGTGCCTTCTATGCAGCTTGAACTTCTTCCTTTATTACATCTGGCTCTTTGCTCATATCATACTTGATAAAATTTTTCAGTGACAAAAAATTATTTCTGGTAGAGTGACTCTATGTACTCCTTCCATCTTCTCTTGATGCTTCCTAGATCATGTAAGATTTTGCCCATAATATCTCTCAGTATTTAAAAACCTGGCTTGAATTTTTATAAAGCTATGTTGTTGTTCTTATGTGCTATTGAGTTGTCTAAGACTCATAGAGATTCTATGTGCAATATCTCTGAACCTTGCTCGGACCTGAGCCAGTTACACTGATTCCAACATACCTACCCTCAATACCCCAATTACTGTGTCAATTCATCTCATCAAGGGTCTTCTTCTACACTGTCCCTCCACCCTTCCAAGCATGATAACCTTCTCCAAGGACTGGTCCCTTCTGGCCACATGCCCAAAATATGTGAGATGGAGCTTCAGAATCCTTGACTCCACGAAGAAACTTACTTTCACGTTCTCCAAGACAAATATGTTTGTTCTCTTGGTGACCCATGGTATGTTCAATACTCTTCTCCAGCACTACAATTCTTCTATCATCTTTAATCATTATCCAGCTCTCTGATGTGTAGCAAGTAATTGCAAAGACCATTGTCTGAATCAGGTGAACCTTAGTCTCTAGAATGATATCATTGCTCTTTAGCATTTTGGAGAGGTCCCTGATAGCAGATTCTTCAATGTGATTTGTCTTTTGGTTTCCTGGCTGCTGATGCCATGAGTATTGATTATGGAACCAAGCCAAGCTGTAATTGTTAACAATGTCAATCTTTTCTCCATATATTGTGGTGCTGTCAATCGGTTCAGTGATGAGAATCTTTTGAAGATGACAGTCCTTGACCTTCTGCAGCAAATGCTTCAGGAGCAAATTCTTCACTATTCTTATAAAGCAATAATAGGTCTAAAACAGTAAGTGGGTCTAGATGAAAAATAGATAAGTCTTCTTTGTACTACTTTTTTCAGCTTTTTCTGGTCAAATTTTCTAACTAAAATGTTAAAATAATTTAGACAATTATGCTATCCCTTTGCAACAGAATTGTATGCAGTCACTAACGTAATGGTTTCGATATACACTTATTGTCAGGGTAATTTGTTCCTGTTATATTGCTAAAAAGAAATAATATTTATTAATAAATATACATTTTGCTTTAAAAAATACTTGTGTGCATGGGAAAATAGGGCAACTAACCAGTAGTAATGGTAGATATTATCAGAATTTTTTCCCAGCATATGCACTTTCTGTAATTTTTTTTGGTTTGTTTTAAGACAACATGTTTTAGACTTTCTGTAATTTTTTTACAGTAAGAATATTCTACTTGCTTAAGAAAAAAACTAATTATATTGAAGGAAATATCTCAGTCACAAAAGAACAAATACTGCAGAATGCCCCTGTTCTAAAATAGGACTAACATGGGGGTTGGGGGAAAACTAAGAAAAGAGGGGATAAATAATGAACACTGCATTGGAACAAATGAAGGAAAAAAAACTGTTTAAAAGGAATATATGATTTTTCAAATCCACCAGATGCTCTGCTGTAAAAAGAGGGACAATCTCCTCATGTACCAGTCAGATTTGATTTGATGGAACACACAAAAGAAGTAAAGAAAGGGACGGAAAAAAGGAATACATGATTAGAGATTATTTGCATGACAACAGTCCAGAGTAAGAGGTACATAGCAAAGTGGACTAGGGTGGGAGAGGGAGGAAATGATGTAACAATGAATGATTTTTTATTTTTATTTTTGTGAACTGGGGGCAGGGGGTAGGGAGGAAAATGCGCAACAATAAATGAATGGATAGCTAAGTTTTCTGTAAACTTGTGTTAAAATCACAATAAAAATTATATAAAAAAAGAAAGTTGGACAATTCAGTCATCTCCATATAGTTAACTGGGAAAGGATCTGCCCTCTGCACTTCTGCGCTCCCTCTCTTCCTCTAAAGTGAGTTTTTCATTTTGCACACCATTGACCCCTGTGGTCACATGCCCACATCCTAAGATCTTTCTGCATCTAATAAATGGAAAGGTGAACCTGGCTGCGGCAGGTGAGATAACAGAAGCCCTCACTTTCTAGTCAGTCAGCATCAGTGGGACCCTCACTGCTGCCACTGGACAAGTGAGGGCTGGGCACCTACCTAGGCACACGATGCCATCGCCAGTATAGCCCTCCTTGCATGCACAAAGCCGATTTCCTGGGGTGGTTCTTTTACAGACAGCGTTGGTAGAACAACCTCCGTTCCTGACCTCACAGGCGTTGATGGCTGTAGGAAGGAGGAGAGGGGAGGGGGAGAAACAAAATGTTGTTGTTATGTGCCAGTGAGTTGCCTGCAACTCATAGCAACCCTATGTACAACAGTCCTAAACCCTGCTCTATCCTGTGCCATCCTCATTGTCTCTGACACAGCTACCCCCATTACCCCAGTCACTCATTAATCCATCTCATCAAGGGTCTTCTCCTGCACTGTCCCTCCATCCTTCCAATATTGGGGATTTCTAGTTAGGCTACCACAAAACGAAAGATTGCTAGAAAACCCACTTTTCCATATTCTAGATACAGTGGGAGACATTGGTGGCTCAGAAGTAAAATTCTCACCTCCCATGCTAGAAGCCCAAGTTCTATCCCCAGTCAATGTACTTCTGGAACAGCCACAGCCTGTCAGTGAAAACTCTCAGGGTCCTATGATGCTAAACAGGTGCCAGCAGAGCTTCCAGATTGAGATGGACTAGGAAGAATGACTACTGCTCTACTTCTGAAAATCAGCCATTGAAACCCTGTGGATCACAACTCATCAGGGGAAAAGCAGCATTTTACTCTATTTGATATAGGTTGGCGTGGATTAGGGCCTGACTTCACAACAGCCAACAACTGCTTCAGTCAGCGTTAATGGTGTTGTTTTTGTGTTGTTATGTGCTGTCGAGTCGCTTGCAAGTCATAGCGACCCTATGTACAACAGCCCTAAACTCTGCTCTGTCCTGTGCCAATCGCACTGTCTCTG